TTTCAACAATAAAACACGTACATAAAAACAGTGAAACAAATTTCGAATTCAAACAGAAAACTGATTGTAGAATACTGCTATCTCTGAGCTTCATGGATAATTGTAGAACAGATGATTTCGAAGCTCTTGCATCAAATTCTTTATTGGTGAGCTTTCAGCGATAACGCCGTCATCAGACCTTCAAATTACAATACATTACCGGCCTACAGCTACAACATACATCAACATTAGCATTAAAACCTACCAAGGGTGGGAGGGGTGGAGGGGTGAACCTGCCGGTGCGGCGCGTGCGGTATAAATGGGAGGAAGGAACTGCTCAGCAGCTCTAAACACTAAGGGTACCTCTAATGTCCCATTTAATCACGGCCAAGGTGAAAGGTCTAAGGAGGTCACGTAGCTCCTCTTGCTTGATTTCCGGCTTAATGCGGTGGATTTCCCGCGCTTCCATGATTTTTCTCTCGAGCGGTCGTACCAGATGTCTGTGGAGAACACTCACATCGAAGGACGGTGGGTTCTCATCCTCATGTTTAAGAGTACGATGCTTGGAGAACGCGTTGTGTGGGTAGGCAGCGGGATTGGCCAGTGCTCTTCTGTGTTCGTCCAAACGAATCTTCAGCGGTCTTCCAGTCTCTCCCACGTACTTTTCTCCACAACCTCTACATCGGATTGAATACACAGTGCCTTTGAGTTCACAGATCTTCTCAGATGAACAGTATCGACATGACTGTTTCGTGACACCCTCAAACCACCAAACCAATCTCCCCGAATGTTCGTAGATCCGGGAAGAAGTAAGGAGGTCCTTGAGTGTGGGGGGAGGGCGGAAGACGAGTCGGATGGGAAGCCTGGAATTCTTTACCACGCGGTTCACTTCACGCGCCATTTTGTCGTTCACGAAAGGCAATGTGAGAGTGACCCCGTCTGGTGATCTATGTGGAACCCATGTTTTGAAATTCCCTTCGAAATATCCGTTGCTTGCAAGGATATTTTTGATCTGTGCGTCTACGGATGGGTCCCTTCGTGTTCCAAGTTTCTCCTTCGTTCTGATAAGATTCCGTGCGACATTCGCCTTCATATAAATCGGATGAGCACTCCTGGAATGCAACAAGATGTTAGAAGAGGCCTTTTTCTTGTACCAAAGGTGTTCCTTGTAGCCCTCACGTATACGGACTTTTGTATTGAGGAACGGTAAAAATCCATCCGCTCCTGGGTCTTCTTTGGTGAAGGCTATGTTAGCATCGTGTGAATTCAGTCTCTCCAAGGTTCTCACAAGATCTTCCTCTGTTATCGCGATAACAAACACGTCATCAATGTAGCGTTTGTAGTATATAATTCCACTTGTCAATGATGACTTCTCGATGTGATCCAAGAAGATGACTGCAAGCACAGGTGCTATACGGTTGCCCATGGCAAGACCTCGTTTTTGCTTGTAAAAGGTGTTGTCAAAGCAAAAAATGTTGCATTCCAGTGCTGCTTCGATAAGCTCCTTCACTTCGCTTGTGGAGAATCCCATTAACGAGACCTGATCTTGATTTTCTTCGAGAAGGGATAGGACAGCTTGAACTAGCGTCCACATTGTTCACATTTGTGTAAAGGGACACAACATCGAAGCTGGCGTAGAAGGCTCCTGTCGGCACGGGACATTGGTGAAGTGACGCAATAAACTCATTGACGTTGACAATGTGCGCCCCCACATATCGCAGGAGTGGCGAAAGAAGTTGAACTAGTAGCCAACTTAGCCCGTCCGCTGGGCCGCCACATGATGCGATTATCGGTCTTGTTTTGATCTCAGTCAATGGAAGCGACATTGTGTTTCCTACTGCTGGAAGTTTATGCGTCTTCACCAAGTTATACAGCGTTGGCACTGTCGGGGCCGACCCATGCAGTCGTTTTGCCATTTCGGGACTCATTCGTTCCTTCACTACTGACATGACATTCTTCACTCTGTTGCATACCCTTTCGAACGCTAACGAAGTGCTTTCTTCGTATATCGATGTATCTGAAAGCACTTGCGCTGTGAGAGCCTTATCTAACGTTTGTGGCATCACCACGAAGGATCCACATTTGTCTCCAACTGTGTACCTCAAAGTGTTCTTCGCTTGCAGTAGCTTCCTTACTCCTTTCCGCTCATCTGGACTCAAGTTACTGCGATAAGGCTCCTCCATGGCGTTCCGGTAAATTTGTTGGATATTATGCTCTATTATATCTCCCCCCACACTCAAGGACCTCCTTACTTCTTCCCGGATCTACGAACATCGGTGTCACGAACAGTCATGTCGATACTGTTCATCTGAGAAGATCTGTGAACTCAAAGGCACTGTGTATTCAATCCGATGTAGAGGTTGTGGAGAAAAGTACGTGGGAGAGACTGGAAGACCGCTGAAGATTCGTTTGGACGAACACAGAAGAGCACTGGCCAATCCCGCTGCCTACCCACACAACGCGTTCTCCAAGCATCGTACTCTTAAACATGAGGATGAGAACCCACCGTCCTTCGATGTGAGTGTTCTCCACAGACATCTGGTACGACCGCTCGAGAGAAAAATCATGGAAGCGCGGGAAATCCACCGCATTAAGCCGGAAATCAACGCAAGGGAGGAGCTACGTGACCTCCTAAGACTCATTGCGTGATAAATGTGACATTAGAGGACCCTAGTGTCTTAGAGCTGATCAGGTCTCGTTAATGGGATTCTCCACAAGCGAAGTGAAGGAGCTTATCGAAGCAGCACTGGAATGCAACATTTTTTGCTTTGACAACACCTTTTACAAGCAAAAACGAGGTCTTGCCATGGGCAACCGTATAGCACCTGTGCTTGCAGTCATCTTCTTGGATCACATCGAGAAGTCATCATTGACAAGTGGAATTATATACTACAAACGCTACATTGATGACGTGTTTGTTATCGCGATAACAGAGGAAGATCTTGTGAGAACCTTGGAGAGACTGAATTCACACGATGCTAACATAGCCTTCACCAAAGAAGACCCAGGAGCGGATGGATTTTTACCGTTCCTCAATACAAAAGTCCGTATACGTGAGGGCTACAAGGAACACCTTTGGTACAAGAAAAAGGCCTCTTCTAACATCTTGTTGCATTCCAGGAGTGCTCATCCGATTTATATGAAGGCGAATGTCGCACGGAATCTTATCAGAACGAAGGAGAAACTTGGAACACGAAGGGACCCATCCGTAGACGCACAGATCAAAAATATCCTTGCAAGCAACGGATATTTCGAAGGGAATTTCAAAACATGGGTTCCACATAGATCACCAGACGGGGTCACTCTCACATTGCCTTTTGTGAACGACAAAATGGCACGTGAAGTGAACCGCGTGGTAAAGAATTCCAGGCTTCCCATCCGACTCGTCTTCCGCCCTCCCCCCACACTCAAGGACCTCCTTACTTCTTCCCGGATCTACGAACATCGGTGTCACGAACAGTCATGTCGATACTGTTCATCTGAGAAGATCTGTGAACTCAAAGGCACTGTGTATTTAATCCGATGTAGAGGTTGTGGAGAAAAGTACGTGGGAGAGACTGGAAGACCGCTGAAGATTCGTTTGGACGAACACAGAAGAGCACTGGCCAATCCCGCTGCCTACCCACACAACGCGTTCTCCAAGCATCGTACTCTTAAACATGAGGATGAGAACCCACCGTCCTTCGATGTGAGTGTTCTCCACAGACATCTGGTACGACCGCTCGAGAGAAAAATCATGGAAGCGCGGGAAATCCACCGCATTAAGCCGGAAATCAACGCAAGGGAGGAGCTACGTGACCTCCTAAGACTCATTGCGTGATAAATGTGACATTAGAGGACCCTAGTGTCTTAGAGCTGCTGAGCAGTTCCTTCCCCATTTATACCGCACGCGCCGCACCGGCAGGTTCACCCCTCCACCCCTCCCACCCTTGGTAGGTTTTAATGCTAATGTTGATGTATGTTGTAGCTGTAGGCCGGTAATGTATTGTAATTTGAAGGTCTGATGACGGCGTTATCGCGAAAGCTCACCAATAAAGAATTTGATGCAAGAGCTTCGAAATCATCTGTTCTACAGAAAACTGATTCTTAAATTCCCTCTCTCAATTCACAGTTATTAACATCCTAGATTCAGCGAATCTGAACGCATTGAGACGCTAAAAATTCTAAATTCAACACAAATCATGAAAGATTTTCTGAAATAGACAACGATTAAAAAAATCATAAATCTAAAACGACACCTGTTTTATAGCGAATATATTCAGGAATCCTCTACGGGTAAAGTAAAATTTAGTGCTTCAACAAATATTTCTCCAGGTACTTACTTAACTCAAAGACTCAGATTTACCTCAAAAGAACCTCAAAAAAATCATCGCTAGACTCTGAGAGTAGATACGCTGTGCGCGTACCTTCGAAGGGTTACAGGACTTCTGTCAACCAACGCTGGATGGTCCAGAGGTATGTTGCGATCGCATTTATCGGTCGAGCATTTGAAGGGAAAAGGGAAAGAAAGAGAGGAAAGAGAGGAAGGGAGGGGGGAAAGAAGGAGTAGGAAGAAGTGGAAGGAGTGAGGTTTCCCAGTTGACAAGTATCCTGAGACACCTTCGAAGTCAATCAACCATGGTCCCGTTCTCTACCAGTTGCTGAAGCGGGTAAGAGTCAATAATAGGTGGCAAACGGCTAATATGAACGACATGTAGTCTTGTCGCTTGCTTTCATCAACAGCTAGCGCAGAAAGCGTTTGGCATTGCGCCAAAGTCTACCTTCTAAGAGCCCCCATCGTCCACTAAGAACAAGACTGTAGAACCGGGTACCGGAAGTTGGCACATGCTGCACAAGCGCGAACACGCCCGATTTCATCCCGGCTGTTGAACTCTTTCGCGCTAAGGAGATGACATAATGACAATCCACCCGTTTCGATGACAGTCGAACAGCTGAGCTCACCGTCTACATAAGCTCTTTAACAACAGTAACAACCAGATAATTTCAATAATGTAACTCTAGTAATAAGTGGGACAAACACGCTACACTTTTAACCGAAACTCGGGTTTCATGAAAATAGGCTCTCCAGGGCTGTAATCAGAGGGTTCCGGCAGCTTCTGATGCAGTTTGAACATACCGGTTCCTATCGATATTGGTATACCGAGAATGATACACTCCGAAACGCCATGAATCTTGAAAATAAGAGTAAATACTCAGGGAAGCATAGGAACTGGAAACAGGGAACGTCTCATGGATAAAAAATTACAGAACAACTTACAGGATCCTTCTGCGAAAAGAAAGCAGCTTCAAACAGATGGTCCATAGTTTTCTCGAACGACGCAAGCAAGAGGACCGACTCTTTCATTTTCACCAAGCCATTCCTTGTGATACCAAGTACCTCACCACTAAAATGCAAACTCAAATAGAATTTTGAGACTTGCATGGGGAAAATCTGGGTAACTAATGTTTATACGAAAAGCTGCACAACTTCCGCACAGGCAAGAGAAGCAGCCAGCAGATCACAGTATGAAGAGCCCAATTAGAAGCAAAGAAAAACAAATATTGGGGAAAGGAATACACTCCAAAGCACAGATGATCCGTTTCGCCCGTTATCGCAGACGAATCATCGATGTCTTACCAACCCCCGGGCTCATCAGTGCGACAGGGCTGACGACATGGACATGGACACAAGACAGATTCCAGAGGCCAGTGAATCCGTGTTAGGCCGCGTTCATACATGATGCAGAAATGCGGAATATGCAGAACTGCGGAATTTGCAGAAAGGAAATATATACGTATCGATCTGAAAACTGCATTTCTTCAAATTCCGCGGAATTTGCCGACATGCAGAAATGACGGACAAAGAATTGATAGGGATCGATTGGTTCTTCCCTGCCGTCGTGCGGAATTTGCCGAATGCAGTTCTGCAGAATTTGCCGTCGTGCAGAATCTGCAGATTCTGCAGATTCCGCACGACGGCAAATTCCGCGGAATTTGCAGACATGCAGAAATTGCGGACAAAGAAGCGATAGGGATCGATCGGTCCATCGGCATTTCTGCAAATTCCGCACTTCTGCATATTCCACGGTTTTTGAAATCGATAGACATATTTTCTTTTTCTGCAAGTTCCGCAGTTCTGCACATTCCGTGGTTCGGCATTTCTGCATCATGTATGAACGCTGCCTTACCCCATGGCTGTCACTGGGGCGCGCTGTTGGATTAGAGCATGGCTCCCGGTCCTTCAAGCTTTTAGCTGCAAAAGGTGGAAGTACTTCGTTGGTTCCTTGAATTGATTTCAGGATCGGTATTTCACCACCTTCACCTTCTAGCAATTACCATTTGATCGGGATATTAGCTATACTATATGCTTCAGTAAGCTATGAGCATTATCTATCCAAGTATTACAGAAGTAGTTTTTGCTTATGACTTTTTATGATTGAAACGTATTCAAAAGTAGTGCAACAAATCGTATTCATACAATAAGGAAGTGTTATGGATCGCTGGAACGAGTACATTTCTCAACGTGTTCTGAAGAAAAACAAAGGTTATGAAAGGAAGTGATGGAGTATGGAGCTTAGGTTCCAGATTTTGAACAGAGCACACAGCTTATTAGTCGCGGTTAATGTTGTAGACGACCCACACAAAAAACAAGAGAAACTGCAAGCAAACAAAATTAAAAATTTTGCACACAACTCAACAAACTTGAACTTAACGTTAATTATTAGGTTGTCGCATAAGTTCTTATACACGTGTTTGATCCTCTCCTATTTCGTTCGCATGGATGTTGGTATTACGTGTGCGTGACGTGTACATTATACTCTTTCATTACACTAGCTATCACTCACCGAGCTTGCATTTGCAGTACACAATGTCGCACAATTTGCACTGTGACAAAACGTACCTGCGCCACTGTTTCGATTTCGGCTGGAATGCAAAGGAAGCCCATACCAAGCTGGTGGATACATACGGTGAGGACGTCATCTCTTACATGACATGCAAGAATTGGTTCGCCAAATTCAAGAA